TCTAAACCCACTGCAATGGGGTTTTTTTTGTTCCTAGCTGTGTTTTGATTCTTTTAACCCTCCTTGACTACATAATCTTTTCATGTAATGGATAAAAACCAAGAATAGCTGTCTGACCCAAAATGGTTAAATTAAATATGATTTTCAACAACAACCAGAAACCTTCCATTTTCATCTCATCAATGTGATGTGAACTGAAGGCACCTTGAATAACAAGTTCAAACACAGGAAAAGTTTGGAGTCAGGCTGCTGAGAGAGACAGATGTATGCAAGGGATGGGAAGCAGATTAAAAATGTCTGTCACCACACTAAAGGAGCCCAAGAGGATCTGATTCCTCTGTGTGGGTAGAGTTAGCTCATGAAACACGCACAGAAAAACACAGTCCTTGTTGGAGGCACAAGGAGGGGAAAGGGCTTGAAGAGTTCACATCCCGTGAAAAGCAGGCATAACACAACGTATTTTTAAAAAAAGCCCAATTAGATTTTCCCAAATTTAAAGGATCTCTTTAAATCAACTCTCTGTTGTCTTTTCTCCCATCCCAACTCAAGGCGGAGGCAGAAGATACCACAATTTCAATATTTCTTTTGCACTGGTTACAAAGAGTTATGTGGATCCAACTTCTGACAAAGTACATAGTAATCTAAAAAGATCCCTGATGAAACTATATAGTGAGCAAACAGAGATGAACAGTTATAGCAGAGGGAAAGAAATCCAATAAACCAAGTCAACCAACAAGAGAAGCACAGGAGGATGATGGACGACATGAAGAAACATCAGACAACAGCTTGACAATGACTAATGGAGACAGTAGGTGACTACATAGACACGAAGGAGAGGGATGATAAAGCAGAGGTGAATTCAATCTAGGAAATAATGAGAGAGGAAACAAAAATAATGGGATGAAATAAAAACACTAAAAACTACAAAAGGAAACTGAAAGTAAACAGAAGAACAAAGACTAACACGACAAGCAAGAACAATCACTCCAGGCAAGACGAAGACACTCGTGTATGCAAGCGCACGAGAAACACAAAAGAAGCAAAACAGAGATCAAGGATTATTTACAAAGACCAGCACACTTTCTTTTCAGTGTGTTCATTAGCGATGCCAATTGAGTGGTGTTTCTTGACTCTAATCTTTAAAGCAAGTCTTTGTCATTTTTTAAAGAATCCACTGCATGCTTTTGTCAAATAAAAGCAAAGTTAGCGGTAATGATGGGAAAAATAAGTCCTTTGTCACCAACTTGTTCACCTCCTTTTTGCATAGAATCATGAATAATTATGTGGTTTCTCAGATAATCTCTCAATCTGTCAGGACTGAGAGGGAACCAGTCTAAGTCCAGTTTAACTCACTGGCTTGCTCTCATCTGTTTGCTGCTGTAAGCATTATTACTGTACAATTAGTCTGACTCAACTTGGAGTCATTTCCAGTTACCATTAGGTGTCTCACTGGCTTAACTTTGCACAGTTAATGACACAAGAGGCATTCAGGTTTATTTAAAACAGAGGTGACAAACTCATTTTCCAGTTAGTATGATCAGTCTGCTGTAATTACATGTGGATTGCAACAGACCACAATAAGTCTGCAAAGTTGCAAAACTTCATATGTAATAATAATGGGTCCTCATCTCTCTTCCCCTCACACGTTCAGCACTGGCTCTCCCCAGGGCTGTGTGCTAAGCCCACTACTCTACTCCCTCTACACATATGACTGCAGTCCCGCCCACCCAGAGAACATCATTGTCAAATTTGCTGATGACACAACAGTGATGGGGCTGATCACAGGAGGAAACGAGGCGGCTTACAGAGATGAGGTCCTGAGGGGGAATGGTGTGCATCAAACAGAACTGCCCCTGCACATCAACGGAGAATGTGTAGAGCGAGTGGAGTCCTTCAAATTCCTTGG